ATGGCTCGTTAAACAAAATAAGAGCAAAGCGAGCAGAAGGTGCACGATTACAACTGGAATACCTGTCAGCATTCTATTTAAGATGAGAATTGAGAGCTATGAACAAAAGCGGAACATAAAATAAATTAATATTACGCATAACAAGCGCCATGGCGCCACCCCACTCCCACGACAGGAATAGCAGGGTGAACAAAGAATAAAATGCAATAGGATATGTAATAATATACAAATCAGGCGAAAAACTACTCATTAGTTGCTCACATAAATAATTCCGGTTTCCTTCTCAAATCACACCAGGATCGTGATGCAACATGCTCACGATAACTGGTGTAAATCTAGAAAGAAAAACCTGTTTATTTGAAAACTAAACTGCTCCACAACAGCGACTTCACCAATTTGAATAAATTAGAGGTGGTAGCAGCAGTAGGATGAAACCAGAGCAATACTTGACGAATTCGGTAGCAGAAATCAGAGGAATAGTCGCTAAGTCCAGTAATGTAGTGAATAGTGGAGTAGCGGTATACATGACCATCGGCGCCCCAGCTCGATTTTTGGGGAACGTTCATCCCCCTCCCAGGGTAGGGAGGCCTCCCCTCCCAGGGTGGGGAGTCAATGAGGTCGGGCTTCTCTGAGCTCTCGCTAAGGTAAGGTCGCAGAGGCAAACATCACATGATTATCGAAGGATGTCGATTCTTCACCTGTTTACAGGAGAAAGCTTTGCTCCATTTGCACTATCTTGACCCAAAACCTACAATATGAACGTTCGCGCCCTTCGCAAACATTTCCTTGGGGAGACTCTCCCCTTCCCTACCCTGGGCGTTATGCATACGGGCCATTGTCGAACTGGGATGGAAAGTGCTGCCCCATCCTCCCCATCCGCCAGAACTTGCTCCTTCTGGATACCATTTGCTTCTTGCTCTTATATGTATATCACGTTCACGATAGAAAAGTTGATGATCGCTTGGACCCCAAAATGAGATATTCAGCCTTTTCAAACCTCGTCCGCCGCAGTTCTGGGCTACAGAAATAGTAGTAAAACTGCCGAATTGTTGGACATATGCTGTGGGCCACGATATAGACTATATTACTGATTAAGAATCCTTTTCAATAAGAATAAGAGTTTTGAAATGAAGATGAAAAATCGATCAAAACTTTTTACTCAACCTAATATCATGCGTATACGCGTGGGCGGTGTCCTCGCTTAAAATCGCCACAGAAGCAGCAGGAAATGCTTAGAGAAACCGGTGTTCACACGAGTTTTTTGGCACACACTTTCCGCGCTACCTCATGCTATAGTTCAGATGCTATAGAACGCATACTCATAATTAGACCACGAAATTAGGGATTTTCCTTGAAAAAGAAAGAAAATTTCATGATTTCATGAGTTACCGGGTAGCCACAATGAGCACAGCACACAGTAGAACTAGCTAACCGGTAAACAACGGTTGTCTGATGTAATCTGACCAGCCCTAACACCACAGCCACAACACAATCTGAATAGCTTAGCCGAAAGTGCGGCAATATGGCGTTGTTGTGAACGCAATACGGCATCGCTCCCGCATACGTGCTTTACACGAATAAGGAGTTTCCAAGCTGTGCCTGCTTTATATACCACGTTACATACTCCCGTTTAGTAGGCTAACTAATTGAATACTAATGAAACTCATGAACAAAATGCAGATAAGACTGGACTCTCCGAGAAGCAACTGAGCAAGCAACGATTTTGATTTCGAAAATGTCTATTTTAACCGTAGCTGAGTCAGCTGATAAAATAACAGGTAGGCTTCAGTCATAACCACATCACCATAGTGTACCTCCTTGATCTAAATGACCACATGAATTGAATTAGGGTGAAAAACAAGGACGGCTACGAAATACCTGGTGGTCGTCGCATCGGTACCATTTGTTCTGGTTCCGACGAACGTAACTGATATAGTGACCAGCACCAGACGAATCGCCGATGTGCGTAACAATGGCGAATAGTGAGTAGCTGAAAAGCAGCTCTTGAAGCATTCGAACCAAGAAAGCTCGAATCTATGTTAAACTAGACGATGTTATTTTTAGGAAACAACAGCATCGTGAGACATAGTCATAGGATCGCTCAACCGCTTCTTACTACCCCATCCACAACGCACGAAATATGGGAAATACAGGTAGCACCACGGAATCGCAAGCCTAACGCTGCATACGGTTTCAATTTGCGGGCAACCCCCATAACTATTTTCTATCCCAACCTCTGTAGCATGTTGCAGAAGTAACCTTTCAGAACATGGACGGAAGCAGCGACCTAAACCTCTGCTGATTGTCCCGTGCCACATCCCTTGCCTGCTACAAGCTACGATGTTTCATCACTCAAAATTCGGCACGCCCTCTCGCGATAAGGTTACGTGACTACTTGAAGTTTCCCTGCTTCCCTGACAGCAAGAGGCTAGAGCACAAAGAAAAACACTCCGGGGGAGGCTTACGGGGGTGGTGGTGAGTGTCCCATTGAATAGACAGGCACAACACTCAAGGCCTGCTTTCATAGTCCACAATTTGGCCCGCGACCGATTGCGCAACTGGCCGCGGGCCAAATCGTGGACTGCGAAAGTAGCCAAGGACTACATCAAATGGGAGTGCGACAGACGGGGGCAGATCCGTATTCCATCAGCGAATGACAGAAGGCTCCAGAACATTATCCCTGACCAATATTGAACAGTAAAACTTCAAAAAAAAAATGAAATGACACTTGAACCCCTGACCAATTATATGTACAGTAGCGCTCAAGTCTTCGGTGAAATGCTTTGACGCTTTTTCGTTCATAACTTTTTTCTTAGTAGACTGAATCGCGCAAAATTTGGATATGTTTAACTAGAGCATATTTTACCCTACCCAACACTATTTGAGTGCAAAGCTACAACATCCACAGATAGAGCAAGGTGTTTGTTGCGGTAGCAGCTTTTGCTAAAAGTAAAGTTGACGTCTGCACTTATTCGCACCTTATGCGCGTTTTTCTCAACTATTGTGTTCGGCGTTACCGCTCGTACACTTTAGACATGACAAAAAGGAAAGAGATTCTAGAAGGACCATCATCTGAATTTTTGGTCAATTTTATATTCATGCTCTTTGGAATATCCGGAACATGATCAGATTGCAGGTCAATAGTAGTAAACATTCACAATACACCCACGCTCCAAATACAGAAATTTCGCACAACTAGATCCAGTAGGAAAGAGTTACGACTGAAAAGTACGGCTGAAGAAGCGTTTCAAAGACTTTTGAGCGCTATTGTATATATACATTACACAGATGAAAGAAAGTTAACTTACAACAAAAAGATTTTTAATATGTTTTCATACCAATTTTCTCGGTGTTGGTTCAGCAAAATTTCTCACGTTGTCACCACGAGAGGGAATTTCAAAGGCGCAGTTCACGCTAAAAATGGTTTCTGAGATTCCCGCCCAGGATGAATTTGAGGCCCCCGCGTATTTCACATCTGGCACTATTAGGTTGGAAATCGGCCTAGTTTGGGAGTTATAAAGGCTCAAAGATCGGCCCGTGTGTATCCTCGGACGAGTTCCAACGGCATTGTAAAGGCTGCACCGATCACGAGGGAGCCCATGCAGAAAGTTCAATCAACTTGTCATGACCCATAGCGGCAGTGAAAGACAGTTCTGTACAGCTCTCGCTTGATGTAGTCAGCTCTTCGTGCTTACAATAACCGAAATCTCGTCCGAATACTCCATCCATGTTGCATGTTATTTCCGTCATGGCAATCTCGTCCAACCTTTATTTTCCCCACTTTTGAAGAGNCATATTCTTCTCGAAATCGGCGAATTCTCTCGCTTTCTTCTTTGCCGATGAACTACTCCCACCCTACGCTTCCGCTTTTCGACTGAAAAGGGGTACCTCTAAATTATCGTGAACTGTGCCTTTAAGGTGAATGTGGAACAGTGGAATTTATGAACAAACTTACGAGTGATTTTTGTGACTAATCATTCCAGCTGAGGTGCGAGGATCAAAAAGAGAAGGATTGTCAAGAAATGCTGACGTGAAAGGAGACATGTCGGACTCGAGGTCGAACCTGAAAAAAATGAAGGCCTTGAAGAAAGTGAATGATTTTCATGTCAAAAAACTTTGGTGAGAAAGTTTTGTTCGGTGAACATAAACCATTCGAAAGACTTCACAGTCTGGGCCTCCCCGGGGGTCGAAGTCTGCTAGAGGTGAACGGGTATCGTGCTGAACATATCTTGAGAAAGCATGATTTTCGAATTCTCCAAGAGGATTAGATCACTTCATCACATACTCAAAAAGGAGGCGTGTGCAGCGAGCTCCCACCTCGTCATCAGTACAGTCCTGTTCAAGTCATACGTGTTCAAGTAACCTGATTCATTCCTCCCTTATTCCCACTTGAGTCCATAGTTTCACTCAGATTGTGCTCATTTCAAGCGCGGTCCGCCGTTAGCCCCGCAGCATACATCAGTGTTTTCATCTTGCCGCATGTAGCCCTTGCAGATATGAACGCTTTAGGTCCCAGAGAAGATCTTTAGTGCCTGCCCTGCCCCTGAAAGCAGAGTCTCTTCGTACCTTCCTCCGAATTCGAACGCCCTTACTCTGCACCGGCCCAATTTCGCGCACGCCCCTCCTTACCTAGGCAGGGCCCAGCCCTGCCACTTACTATTAAGGTCCCTGTCCTGCCTCCTACATCCCTTGCAAATTTTAATTCAGTATGAGGATACAGGAACTATGAACCTCCGGCTAGTCTTCGCCAACAGAGGCGGGCAAAAGAGAGTGTCCGAGCGGAGGTTCATACTATCAGTGTTCCCATTCCGCCAAATGCACTGCTATCAAATTTTAATGCTCTCGGTTAAAGGGAACGGAGTTATGAGTTTCCGGTAAAACATTGACCGACACACACGCGCACACACTCATCACATCCACCGAAAAAAGAAAGCTGTGTGACACTTCATTTACCAAATCTCCAAAACGGTTATTCTCTGTCTCGGAACAGCCGAAATGACACAAGTTTTGAACAAACCCTTACCATACAACTGTGCTGTTTTTCCCAGTGGCGGATGGACTGAACCGCTTCAAGTGGAAAACGATCACAGACGGCAATACTCTGAAATGGTGTGAATTAGATGATGTGAAGTGGTGCGCAGGCGCAAACCGTAGGTCTCCAGAAGAATTAAAATGATTATAGACCTAATGACTAGGTTCCTCGATAGAAACATTTCCCAAGGGAATTACGGTAAAGAACTTTTTGGGTGATAGTAGATAAAACTGTGCGTGTGAAGAACATCCAAATTTTGTTCCCGATAATATTCGAAAGAACTAAACTCCACAAAGTTACAAGAAGATAGATAAACACCGCTCCCAGACTTTCCTCTTACGCGACCCTAATGAGTTCAAGAAAGTGTCAAGGAGAGGAAGTGTAATGAATGATTCCTGATGTTTTTTATTGACGATCCGTTTTATTTTTAGAACAAAAGTTGTTCTTGTGTAAGAAGTAGTTTCAACGCAACTCGGATTTCCTGAAATGAAAAATCATCAGGGTTAAGGTTGTAAAGAAGTTCGAGCTCGTTGATATCTTTCTGTTTCATTTGTTTTTATTTTTACCAAGGACTGGGATTCACTCAATTGTAAAATCGCAGTGTAGTCACTGCAAAGCCTCACTTGATGAGCGCGACAGCGATCTACACCTCCAAAAACTCTCATGAACTTTGTCCTATATGGAGTGTGCGTTATCTTGGGGAATATGTACTGAAAGTCCTTCTAGCCGTAATTCGTCCGCAAACCGAAGCTGACTATCATAAATATTACCGGTGACGATGTATCCTCCAGAAACAGCGATACAGCATTCCTAGCGAATCCTTGAAAAATCAAAGGAGATATTCTTGCGATGGAAGTCCGATATTGCTTGCATTAGCAGATCTTCTTTGAAATGTCACACAGCTCAATGCGTGTTCGAACCGTAGAAGACCAAAACCTATGTCCAGTAATCAGGTCTTCCAGAAGCTCCTTGCGATGCAGACAAAAAAAGAAGAGACTGATGAGTGGACACGAGTTTTAACAGTATGCTATCGGTTTTATGCATCAGTGATCCTTCGACTCCGCACTTGTGTAGCTGTGGACTTGGAGACGACTAAGGGGTGTTATTAGAGTGAGCCCAAGTTCGTCGCAAGTTTGCGAGTGCTTACGTCCAGATCCCCTTTGACAGACAAGCCGTGTGAATAGAGTCAAGGAAAGCAACCTGACTGTATAATCTGAATCTACCAGTTCGGCTAAACACAGTAACGCTTGCATATATTAAAGAACGCTTTGAACGGAGCCGACGGAAATGGGGAAATTTCGAAGAGGTACCGGCTGGTGTTGTACTATACTCGTTGAATTTGGATAAAGCAAGGACACTGTAGGCTAATCAGTATCTAGACAATTCAAAAGGAAGTTGTGTGGTATGTCCTGTCTTGATCGAACGTTCATCTAGAAAAGCGAGATGTCCTGTTTCACGTTTCACGATCTTCTTCTACCGAGAAACGAGCGGCATGTAATGCATAGGTGGTGCTGTAACCGATGACGAAAGCACGCTGGTTCCACAATTAGTCCAGAACTTCATACTGTGCGGGAGCGGACGAACGGAGATCCATGAATATCTCCGTTCGGCGAATTCGAAGAGCAAACTCGGTTAGCTTCAGGATCATACCTACCATTTTAAGACTCATTTAGGATGACAATATCGAACTGAAACGCTTGGTTCTGAGCCATCTTCATACTCAGCGCAAGCCGAGCGAAAGCTTATGAGCAGAAGACGATAGGCGAGGGACGACTTTCACCGAAGCAGAACAAGCATCCACAATATGCATTTGAGAAAGTGAGATTTCAGCATACTCCGCATGGATCATATAGGTTCTCTTTTCCTCAAATGTAGGTTGCACATATGCTCGTCATATGCTATGCTANNNNCTGTCAAATGCTTTCAGTCGCAAGTTCCAGATATCCCAAAGAGCTTCAACTGGAAATACAGACACTAGCCTCTCTCAAACTTCTTTCCTTTCTGCCATGTCTAAAGTGCACGCTAATGCCGAACACAGTAGAGGAGAAAAACGTGCATAAGGTGCGAACAACTGCAGACGTCACTAATTTTGCTAATAGCGTAGTCTGCTACCGCAGCAAACACCTTGCTCAAGTTATGTGGATATTGCTGTTTTTCAGTCAAATAATGTTGGATAATGCGAAATAGCTTTAGTTAAACACATCAAACTTTTGCGCGATTTGCTCTAATAAAAAAGTTATGAACGAAAAAACGCGAGAGTGTTTGGCCGAAGTCTTTTCAGAGCTACTGTATGTCGTCCCACACTTAACGTCGGGTAACGCCTCTCGCCCATTGTCAACCCGGTGTATGAGAGCAGCGGAACTTGAACTTCTGTACTCTTCTCTCCTTCCCTAACCGCTCTACTACTGAACTATTGAAAAGCAAGCATTGCCTGCTTCTCACTCGGACTTCTTTCGATGTTGACATCGTACCTCTAATTTGGTCCTAACAATTTCTGCAACCACGAGCTTCTGCTCAAACTTCTAATCTGCATTTGCTTAAGTGCCGAAATAGAATCAACCAACTTGAAACTCATTCGTCGCGTAGCTCGCATACATCCACATCGTTCGCAATTTCGGTCTAAATCTTCCCTGGCACAGAACCTGAAAGCTAGTTACTGTGGTAGTGAAGGCGTAAAAATTACATGAAACACCTACATTTCCAAGCAGGTTTTGATCCCAATTTGATCAGACGGAGAAGTTGCCGGAACGATAAGTGAAACATCAAGAAAGGGTTGAGTAGATGATGACACCGATCTGATAAATACAGAAGGGTAAGATTAAATCAAAAGGCAAGTGAAAACTTGATAGCAAAGACGCACGAGCACTTGTTACAGATTATATCGGAACGTAATTTGCCAGTGAATGTTTGGTGGACGATACACTTGCACGCGTCTGTTTCAGTTACCGGTGAAGAAGAGAACGGCGCTAAAAAGTTGTCAGTATTGAAGAGACTTGTAGATGAACAACTTCAAACAGATTTCTTGTTTTGCATTACATACTAACAACAACTTGAAGCCGGAATGAAAGTTTGAACGTGAGAGAGGTGAAAAGCATGTTCAAGATGGGTGAGAGTGTTCACAGCAGGAAAGGAGGGTGAAAAACTGCACTACTGACATTAACACATCATATTCAAATGAAAAACATGTTTGAAAAGTTCAAAGGCTAGCAAAGCTATTGTTGAAAAAAAATCAAGATTAGTTTGCTATCTCCAACACGTAAAACCTCACAACGCTGAGAGTCTGACGTGAGTATAGTTTTATTCCAACAGTGGTACACAACCCTAGTTGAGTATGATTATGCATATTTTTATCATAGCGGGATTTTCCCCGTGTCCTAATTTCGTTGAATGTTTAGCCACGAAACTACTTCAGAAGATCAGATGCAAGACAAGGAACATTAAGATTACCCAAACGATTTACCATTATAGTGCCGGTGTAGGAGATCATGAACAGCAAGAAAGAATTCGTGTGCATCCTGCTGACCACCCATGGACATTTGAGATTGTTCCCATACAATATGTAATACATCGGAAGGAGCAACTGGATCGGATGAATCACCGCGGTGGAAGTCCTTCGTTGTAACTATTACGATTTCACAAAGAATGTTACCAAAACGGCAGCATTAATTCTATAGAGAAGTACCTGCATTAGCTGATGCATCGTGCACATCAAACATGTGCCAGGAGGCCGTTGGCAGCAATGTTGATCGGAAAGAAAATAATCTCTCAACACAGGTGTGTGAACGAGAGCTTGAAGCACACTGTTCATATAGCACGTCGAACCCATATTCAGAAGACCACGCAGCTCTTGAAAAGAAAATAAAACACAGCTATCCCAATTAAGTTTCAACAGAAAGAATCACCGAAAATATTGAAAATGGATAAACGCAATTCTCCCGCTAGACAATATCGGTCTGCGCAAAGGATTCTTAGTATCATACTACCCAGACTGAACTTCTCGAAATATTAGTTCCTGAACAGTCTCCCCTAGTTTTGACCTTCAAAGTTTATCTTCTTCAAGTTCTGCTGACTGCGAGTATCCCATGGCTGTCAAACTTTTCACTCATCACCGAGGATTTGCCGAAAGATTGATGTGACCCAGCGGGAGAAAAGCTCGTTTGCATTGAACACAGACATACGAGCATGGTGTCCTACGCGAGTCATCATGTCCCAAGCTTTGATGTCGGCATCCGTCGGATTCCACGATACCAGTTTGCAGAGACCCAACCTTGTTCTAAAGTCATTCTTACACGTTTCTTTCACCAAAATCAAAGGCACTGTTCGCGATGATTCAATGGGCGGGTGTGTCGCTGACGTGTCCGCCTCTCATTCGATGTCACGTCAGACAGTCTGACGTGGCGTCGAATGAGAGGCGGACACGTCATTGACGTGCCCGCCCATTGAATTATCGCGAACAGTGCCTTTATCGCAACGACTACCTGTATTTGTTCATAGCTCCGAGTCGCATAACCTCTAGCACTCGGTTGTAGACAAAATCGGAGCACCACGCACAATACACGAAACCCGTTTCAATCGACATAGCTGAAACCACGAAATAAAAGACCACATTAGAAATTTGGTTGCAAAAGAAGACAAGTCAAAAAAAGGTCTGAGGTCAAGTAAGCAATCGTTGCGAGCTTGTAAGATAGCAGAACTTCTCTTTCGGTTCATGTTTGACAAACTTTAGGAAAAACCAGAAGTGTCCCGAGTGAAATGGTCCTCACGGTGGGCAAAGGGCACACCAAAATTAATTACATCGTACTACACAGAAGACAATTTTACCGAATTCGTGCCGATTTTCCCGTAGATGCTTCTTCATATGCATTAGACAAAGAAAAGAACTGCATCTTGAACAGCACATCTGAAGAGGAAGACGAGACATTCGTTTCTCAAGTGGGCATTCGGAGCATCGTGTGGCTCCCATTGTGACCTAGGAATTCAGATTTGGAAACGAACTATCTATTTGAACTAACATTTTCTTTGCCTGATACTATTTTACGATAATAAAACACGATTTATAGTTGTGGCGTAAAAAATTCAATACAACAACCAGGGAAACATCGTTTGGATACCCTTTAAATTTCACGATTAAAGTATTTAGGCCGTACAAAAACTAAAAGCAGCACCCGTCGGCCTTCACTTCCATGTCTTCTCATTTCAAATGACTTATGGTTTTCTGTAGTGTAACCCTAAGAAGTCGCCGAGTTGTAGAGACCACAAAGCATCTCTATATATTGAGTAGAAACAACCTGGTTGCGCAGCGTTTCAGTTACCGCTTCTCTCCCAACAATTCTAAAAACCTTCTGAATCGATGAACGTCAACATAACGGCATCATTTACTCTCGTGATCTTTGAGAATCTTTTGGCCGTGAGGATGTGATCGGTTGTATAGTACGAAGACCGTTAGGACCAGGGCGGTTACTGACTGGATTTCGCGAGACGTCAAACGAATATTAGGATGGCCGTTAGTGCGATTATAACACTTCTCGTGGAAGTTCTGAACGAAAGGAACGTGATGCCTCGTGTCCCTCGAGCATGAACGATCCGCTGACCCACCCTATCTCGCGACGGGGACGATAAGAACGTTAATGACGCGCGCTCGTGTAAATCGATTACCAATTGGACAGCAAATTACAAGGGATACAGACCAAGACAGAAGTAGTCAGTGGCTTTATATTTAGTACCTACAACTGTTTCGAATCCCTGTCCCATCAGCGTAGAATAATTAGAAGCTAACAGAGATTCACTTGCATTTTTACACCGAATATTCAAAATGCTATTTGTAATACGTACCGCTGTCACAGCATAGCTATCTGTTCTGGGAAATGCACATTTATCTGCAATCACAGCGTACCAGCTTCGCAACCTCTTCTTTTCAGCAGGAGCGCTAGGCATATGAACACACGATGAGGACATCGGTGCACTTGCGACGAATTCACAATTTCGTGATCTCTGAAAGGAATGCAACGTTATTTCAATTCTTCTTCAAAAGAAAAATATCAAATGGACAGAGCGAAGGTGGACAGGACTCGCACACGTAGCAGAACGCTCTTTCCTGCAGCTTCACTGCATGAGCGAACAAATGTCAAAAATTTACGAACCATTGTGAATGGTAGAACAATCTTTGCAGACGCCCTCGATTGAGCTACAATCGATTGAGGTGACTGAACGTTAATCCCATTAATGTTCGCAAAAAACGAGAAAATATTATCTTGAAGTCGGATGCAACTTGCCCACAAACACAGCCTTTGTTCCTTAGCTGTGCACATGCCCGGGGTACATTTTTATTAGAATGGGCTGAGAGATCTGGAGCAAAACGACGAATGGATTCGAAGCTCTTTCGCAGTCGTTAGCCTTTACTGCGCACAACAGTCTTGAACCAATTGCCTTCGTTGCATACCCTCAGAGACTTGAAGCTACGGCAGTTGCTAGCAGTTACAGGCTATGGTCAAATGGACTTCTCTCGCCGAGAAAAACCGTCTCTGACAGTCTCCGCAAATCCCAGAGAAGGATGTGTCTACTCGGTGTTTGCGTTAAACACTTGCTGTGTACAGCCCGACCCAGAAGTGGGGAAAATACTTTGACGGTTTTCACTTCACTAGCTGAAAGTAGTAAAATGACAAAGGTTAGAAATAAAAGGGTGATGAAATGTGATGACTGAACTAGTTAACTACTGCTTCTCCGTCCGTTCCTTCTCACTAAAAGGAATTTCGGTTGATTCTGTTCGGTTCAATAGCTTTTCGTGACGCTCTAATTCCATCATTCTACACTAGACGCAGCATCATAATTACTGTGCACAGGTCGCCATGATTGTCGCTGTAATGATGACCACTTCTACTGTGGCCTCGGCCGCAGTGGCACTGTACTGAAGAAGCACAAATTAACAAAATGCGATTTCACCTTTAATCCTCTTGAAGCCTGGGCATTTCAGGCCGAAACACTTTAATGGTCAAAGTCCCAACTGAATCGTAGTATTCAGGACGTAAAAATAATCAAACACATGCCAGCTGTTGTGAATTTACTAACACCACTCGAGAGGCGCTGACTAGAAGGGTATGTGGCATTGCGTCGTGCGTCCGAAGATGCGCGGTGAAGTTCGTTACGATTGGAACGACTTTAGCGCCTATCAGTGGGGCCCAAATTTGAAGTAAAATGGATTAGAAGAATCTACTGACCCATTAAACTACTCTACTTCGAGTTTGTGCCCTAAAAATTGGCGTCGAGTCAAACAAATCGTCACGAACTTCACCGCGCATGTTGCCGCGCGCGTCCTCAGACGCACGCAGTGCCCGACTCACTGACTAGAAAGACATCAAGGCAATGATATGGAGGTCGAATGAAAAATCCTAGATTACGAGAATGAAAGCGGTCTCAGAAAGATACTGGAAACGTCGCATTTCCGCGAAAATCCACGGTTGCACAACCGAAATGAGCACGTTGTCTTACCAGGTGAACTCTTGCTATTCATCACCTTCTGTGGGCTTTGAGATCTCCCGGATAATTCACGATTATCAATGGTAACTCATTGGTCCCTTGTTGTTCATATAGAGTGGAACACGCAAGTAGAACCGCAGGTTGGTCGCTTTGTTGGTAACTTTTTAGGTTCGAGTTTCCGGGAGTTGTTGCAACTAGACTAGCGCGTTTAGGCGTTTGGTCGGGTAAGTCACAGATCAGGAGCTTCGAACTGTTTTCAGATCCTCAGGACAACGATTTAACCGGAAGGTTGACAAAAAATGGTCCAGCCATGACAAACATGTACGGCAGACCCGTATAGAACACTATGTAGAGAAAAAAAGTAATTACCTAGGAGAAAGAATGTTCAAACCATTAAGGTTGGAATCTATTCTGTAACAATCCCGCGAAACATTGACAAAAAGAATAGAGAACCCGGAAGAAACAAGAGGAGCTTTTACCTCGTTTGAATAGGTGAAATTTATTTAAAACGTAATTTATCTTGAAGCATAGCTTCATCCATCAAATCAAATCAACAACGGCAAGAAAACAAACACCAGAATGGATTCGCAACAGTTTCAAAAATACGTTCCGTAGAATAAAACCCACTGAAAATTTTTCTGATCATCAGACTATTCCTAGTTTTTGACTGCTTAAAGAACATACATTACAGAGAATGAGTCAATTTCCTTCCTAACTTAAATTGTTCGTTATTAATTACTCGTTAGGCCTAATGAATGCTCTTCAACAGAGAGTTGAAAACACCATGTTGAAGGCACCAAGTTTGCCGTCGCAGTAAAGCACCGCGAGTTTCACAAGTAAATGTTCTTAAAACTTATTCTTTCTACTAAATACAAAATATTACTATTTAATCACAGACAAACATGATGTAAGGGAGCACAAACAAAAGTTTACTGTAGAGCGATTGCCACTAGAGAGAGGAGGGAAAACCCGCGATAACAAATAACAAGGAATCCAAAGAAAAATTTGTAACTTTCACAAAAGCGGACCTCATGGTATCTATTCTCATAAAATGATTAGTGAGGGACTGGGGCAATGAGCAATAAACGAGATGTCCCGCTTGCCTTCGGAAGTTTAGGTCCGCATTTGTAAGTCATGAGGTCCTAATAACCCTGAAGACCGTTATAGACCTTCGGCTTCACATCTGATTGCTTCAACAAGTCTGAGACCAGCTTTTTCTGCTCCTCTGTCAACTCAATACGAGGAAATTCAACATCAAATGTCACATAAAGAACACCACGCAGATTGTTATTCGTCAAGTTGGGCATCCCTTCGTCCTTCTTCCGCAATCGAGCGCCTGGCCAAGTTACCTAAATTCAAACACAACATCATAAAACGTTGCAAACTGAGTTACAATCTCTGCAAGTCGGCGAACATCCATTTTAGCCTAAACGAAAAGCTTGAGGCCAGATTTAGTCGTCAATTCATTCACTTGGAATCACGGTTACCTCACTATTGCTACACTGTTCAACCAGTATGGGCAAGAACTAGTAAGTGACAGAGACTCCAAAACCAAGCCAAAGATGAGAAATCAATATGAGAACTGGGAAGAAAGAAGAGATGATATATAAAATTGAGAGAAAAAATTAGCAGTGGTAACTGAAAACAGTCTGTGTATTTGATCATACGAAGACAGCCCTCAAAAGGCATCTTTGAAAGACATGCCTCTATTTATCTCTAGTGGCCATCAGTTCGATAAAACCAGGCAACGGGTTCATTGTAGGAATACCGAAAGATTTTCCTTCATTCACAGTAACTGATAGGAATTAATACGGTGGGCGTTAGTTCCAGCTAATAAATTTACACGGTGAATCAGCACGGAATGCACAACGGCGTCGATTGCAAACCTCATTTTCACAGAAACCGAGATTCAAAATAAAAGTGCTGATAGGCAGCTTTTAACAATAAGACCATTTGTTTGAAGCCAAAAGTGGACCGCTATAGAGAACGGAAACAAAGCCAAACAAAAATAACCTTTGCCAAAAATTTAAGGGTAACTGATTGTGAGTAATTAGATCCCCAGAACAACCCTGAGCGAATAGCCCTGAGAAACGATTACCTTCAAAATAAAGGAACGCAGTACTCATTTGGAGCCACTCACCTTTTCACGTTCCACGGTTACCTTATGTCCATCTAGATGTTCTATTTCCATTTTGAAGCCATTTAACGCATCTTGGAGTGAGATCGTAACATTTGTGTAGAGATCATCACCCTTTCGTTCAAACCTAAACATAATTGTGCATGGATCGTCAGGACTTCCAAATAAATGAAATGCCAAACTACCTGGGATGTTTTTCAACATTAATTCTGATCTTTAGATCTCCAGGTTCTCCTTCAATGTGCGGTTCACCTTCACCAATAAACACTTGTTCATGACCATCATGGGCTCCAACCTCCACTTCAACCTGAACAAATTCGACCTTGATTTGGATTCTACATCAACAATATGTTGCAACGAAAGACCACCTCTAATGTTTTTGTTTCTTGAACAAGCTTCACGTTTGGACACTCGTCACACACTTGAACCTAAAGAACTAATTAATCAAGATCCATATAAGAACAGGCTCTCCGTCAGAAAACCAGAATCGTTGCGTTCGAATAATACTATTTCCATAAAAAGAACAAATCAACAACAGAAGAACAACAACAAAGAACGCTGTTTTTTTTTTCTCAGTAAAATTCTCGCTAGTGTCGTTTTCCCATGACGTTGCCCCCAATTTAAACAATCAACACCATTACTTCATATTACAGACATTAGAGGTTACTGATTGCTTATCGTAAGTCTCTAGCGATTAAGAAATGCTTAAGTCAAAGGATAATTACCTGCCACACCGTAAAGATTGTGAGTTTCAAGAAGAACTAATAAAATCTCTCAGAAATAAACATCTCCCTATAATCCAGACAGATTACTTTTTCGCACGTGTTCGTCTCTCCGATTATACACCCCATACTTTCCAGATCAAACACGTTTGAGGAATTCATTTGGATTCTACAGGTTCGGTGAAGCTACGCCGTTCCCTACGGCTATTCGCTCTACTTTGGTTGTAACATTTCACTTCTGACTTTCTAACATCTATTACACAGCAACGGCTTATCCCTGTGATGTCACTCTCCTTCCCTACCAGCTAGGTTGAAGACAGGAAAGGACAGCAACACGTTAAGGCTGAAGGTGAGCATAAGACAAGATAAAGCGTAGGCTTAAAAGTGCTTACGCATGTTTCGACAATAAAAAGGGGTGATAGCAACGATAAGTCTAACTAAACGTACACAAAAAAGGGCCACCAAACATAATTCAAATCAGTAAGTAGAAAAAGAGGGAAAGAGTTGTAATTTCGAAGGAGTTCAACCAACAAAGGCCTCACAAGGAAGTCCAGTACAGTAGTTCAAGTAGTAATTATGGGTTACTTATAATGAGCTGCTAGAACAAATTTAGTTGTGACGTACGATAAGCAGCCAGAACTCATCGAAGATAGTCTGAGGAAAGGTAGCGCTTTCAAAATGGAGAACGATATTATATAACGCTAATGCTATCGAAAACGAAGGAATGCACCTTATAGGAAAAAAACCCAATTTTAAAATCAATTTCAATGTTGCAGTTGCTCACCTGGAACATCTGGAAGCGTCCCATCCCGATTTGTTCCGTTCGCATTTCATGCCTACAGTTACACTTCCTCGTTCCTGATGTTTGCTTGTAGACAGCTTTCTTGCGCTTGACTTCCACGAAATGACCAACGTAAACTTCTTCCAAAGATACAAACAAATCAAAGACGACGTCAGCTCCCTAAATAGCATGCGAAGGCTCAAAGATCAAAAAATAGCAAAATACACTAAGAGTGTTATGCGAGGTTAACCGTTTTGGAGAAAAATACTGAACCGTTCTCAGTACTATAAACGGAAAAAGCATACCCTTGGCCTTTCTTCTTCCCCTCCTCCATGGCCTCCTCCGAAGAAGTCGCCGAAAAATGAAGAGAATGGATCGTGTCCACCTCCTCCACCGCCCATCATCTTTTTCACGCCCTCCTCCCCGTATCTGTCATATGCTGCACGTTTTTCTTTGTCAGAAAGTACCTAAATTTATTATATAAAAATAGGAAGCTAGAAATTAAAAATCAACCTTTTGAATGAGCTCAAAGAGCGACGTAGTGCTGCTTAAAGCATGGCTAACCAAAAGGCGGCTGTTACTTGAAATTATGTAGGATACTTCAGGATAATAGCAATGGTAAAGCGTATATGAACACCTCCTCGAGAAATCAGAATTCATTCTGCCTGCTACAACACAGCTCCAAGTTCAGCCCAGACAGAGCTGCAGTTAGAGCTTAGTGTATCGTTCGGCTAATTGGACTTTTGTGAACGGGGTCAGAATGTGAGATTAGCGTCATTTCACTGCACATTACTGATTGCATCACTCAAAACGATGAACGGCGACCCCACAATGCTGCCGCAATGACCAGCATTATAGTAAAGCTTCAAACGAGCGCCACAAAACTAATTTCACTTTCTCTAGGAAAAGAACAAAGTGAACAACTCTGATACGTCGCAATAGGGAGTGGCTGCTATCGTTCTCTAGAGCAAACAGGTCAATTAAGGATCTAAGGAACGAATGTCAATAACAGAACTTGGCTGCATATGACATATTCATTTGACACATTACTTCATGAGCCTTCCTTGTTCTGATCAGTGAAAGTCTACAACCAATGGATCTGATAGAACGAAGTAAAGCCGGAAAAAAGTTCTCTTCTATGGCTGAGTTATGACTTTACGTATATGTATGATTGGCCTGATAGAATCTAAAAGTATTTCCACAGAAGGGAAATGTAAAGTTACAATCTCCCAGCTAACAGAACCCCATAACTGTTGAATATTACTGCTCATCTTCATCTCCCATCTACAGAAAACTGCGAAATTGAACGAGCCTAATTAGCCTGAAACGACATGATGAAAGGAAAACTCGCAGCTCAACAGACTTGCAAATGTCCTAGATATAAATCTTCCTAGAGCTCGCAGTCCATCGCACTCATTCTTGTATCACTTCTAGCGCCCATTTCATATGACTTTAACTGCGAACCTTAACTTCATACGTAGATGAAAAGCAGCGTAGAGTAATGGATCTGTTAGCAGTCACCACAAAATAACCGTGCCCTATTTAACTGCATTACGTAGCAACTCCAGGAACAGATCTTCCGCTGAAGAAAAAACGGATCTCAACAAGATCCTTTAACAGTCCGATCAATGGTAGGTTGTATGCGGATACAAGAGGGAATCTATCGGTAGTTTTCCCAGCCAAACGAGGCTCATCTCTTTAAATAATTTCGCAGAAAGATGGTGGTCAAATAGTCCGAAACGGTCTCATATTCACGAGAAAATGCTCAATATCTATGAAAGATGGAGGGTATTCTCGTGTTTAAAGCCATGTAACTCTGTGTGGTCACACCTGTTAAGAGAATGGGTGTCGCCCTGATCCGCTTTAAACCCTTTAAGACGACGAATCAATACGAGGCTTATTGATGAACAACCAGTGTGGCAAAAGTCATCAACGGAAACGTCCTAGTTCAAAGACGAAGGAAGTTTTTCATCAAAACAGACACAGAACAAGGCAGGAATGACCCCACAAACCATAAGAGGAACTGGGATTGAAGTTATTCTTAATTTATAGCAGCCTTCTACCTGATCCAACTAAAAATACGTCATACAATAATTGTTTTTCAGCTGTAGAACAGAGTTGTCTGCACAATAAGTGCGGATTTTTGGGAAGGAGCAGTCGATAGATTTGATCCGAAAATAAAAAGCGACCCTGTGGCTTTGCATGAATACAAAAGAGAGTTAATGGAAAATGGTAACGTGAAAAAATATACGAAAATCAACAAAGGGGCGATAGCAATACCTCATATGCAGCTCCAAGATCCTGGAATTTCTCGTGAGCCAACTCATCGTCTGCATGCTTGTCTGGATGTAACTCCTGAAAGCGACAAATTGAGCTCCCAAGCTTGCATCTAATGGAACTGAGATTGTTCCTGAAATTGACTCCTTGGGCTGAATGCTCTTCGAAGCCAAAACACAACTATTTACTTTGATTGACGACGACTACGTTCATAATTTTTCAGAGAGAAGTTAGTCGGATGGATTCGCAACAAGCCAAATCCAGTAAATGACCACAGCAATTACATGAATTGCAAGAGAAATTGTTTGTTTGAGATGGATTATATTTTAGTTACCTTTGCCAGCGCCCGGTATGCTTTCTTGATCTGGTTGGCGTTTGCATTACGAGGAACTCCGAGAATTTTGTAGAAGTCGCGTCCACATTCAACAAATACTAGCAATGTTGACAAAACAGTAATCGGTAAATATCCTAACAGGTTCATGCCCTAAACAAAAAACTTTAGAACGGTTATTTCCAAACAATATCTTATCCAAAAACGATACCCGAGATTAAAACACAAAATATGTGACAAATAAGGACCTAAAAAAGCGACCACAGAGGGTGCTTACCAGTAAAAAATCTATTTTACAAAGCCAAAATTTGAAATTTGTGGAGAGCCCCCGAGGTGAACTGGGCGGAGCCGCCTAGCACACGTCACGACAGCTGTGATTGGTCAGTTCCCAGATCGTACCGAAAATGGGTCAGCGGATGACCCGAGAGGATTTTACTAATGAAATTGCCAGATTATTGTCAGGTTCTCAGCCATGCATTTACGGCAGTCAAGCTAGCACCGCTATTCCCTTTCGTTCTAGTGTCCTCGTAAGGTCTCAACCCTATTAGTTGGCGTCTTCTTGGAGACCTGAAGTTTGTGACATGTGCGAATCTTATGTCTTGCGTGTGTTCATGTGTCGATAGACCTCGTTATTAATTTACGCCCACCTTATCCCAAAGTATAATATCCTATTTTTCATACCCTTTCGCATCAGAGGGCCATAACTGCCAAATTTCCCAATAAACACATCAGCCCAAACACCGACCGATCGGTTCTATTTCACGGGAGACGGGAAATTTAATACGAGCCAATGATGCTAGTCGTTCACCTTGCGTGCGCCTGATTTGCGAGCAAGGGGATTTAAACGTCCGTCGAAGGTGTGATACAGTAACCCTAGCTAACATTTGGGCGCGCCATTTGCATTGGAGCGCGGGGGATGAAACCTTTCAGGCTGTCGCTTTTTATGGTAAGTGTTCTAACAATTATCGTCCCACCTAGGTGAGTTCGGGGGAAGTTCTTTTTGGATTGCACTTATCACTGCTTTTTTATCATCATCATTGCAAAACAATCTCTTCCTATCAAAGGTTTTGTAAATGTGCGATTTAAGACAAAGGAATTTTCTTTCGTAGAAGTGCTCTTCGTGGTTATCACTTTTTGGAAATCCCCGTGAATGATGAGTGTAGTAGGCTTTACTGCTTAAAATGTTCCCTTGTAATACTTGGGGTCATATGGACTCTTTCGTTGGAAATAAGTTTGGAAAAAAAAGAGAGCTGTGTGCTTTCTCTGTCGAACGGTGGCAGTGCAGTATAGTTAGGGCTATTTTGTTAGTATAAAACAATTTCTAATATTACTGCATTCTATTCTGTGCCTTTATCACCGGTCCCTTCATTGTAAACTGCTTTTGTTGTTCGAGATTTTGACTGCCGACTTACTGTTCCTATTGGTTGCTTATACCGCAGTTTGGAATCGCTTGTTGAACTTCAAAGTAATCCCGAGTTTCATAGCGATACGTTTATATGTTACACATTAAAGGCACTGTTAACGAAAGAATGGTTTCGGAGATTTGCACATGGTTTGAATTCGAAGCCACCTCTGGTGCCATTTGTGCAGGAATAAGGTCGGAAAACGGCTTGATAGGGCACAATAAGGGGCCGGAGAGGTATCCACGGTCGCCCTCCGCCCCTCCATAGGTGTCACGTTAGACGAGTGTCGAGTCAATACGGATTGCTATTATTCGTTCTAGGACCCACGCACAAACAGCTACCCGCGAGTGATGAGGCAATGTTTTTCTCCCATTCTTCTTTATTCTGTTTTTCTTTTTGCTGCCGCGATCCCTTATTTAATTTCCTACTTCTAGAGGCTGAAAAAGGTGAGCTACTTTTGCTGTTACTACGGTTTTTTTTGTTTATTTATGCGTATAAGTGAATGAATTGTGGATTACCATTGTCTGTTATTCGCACCAGGACCCACACGCGCGCAGTGAAACGCACTGTTTAGCTCGTCCGGGCGCCCCACCTTCTTCATTTTTCTGGTTTCATTCACGTCCAGCCCCCTTTTTAACGTTTTTTCGAGGTCCTTTTTCACTGTGAAAACACCGATGCACGCAGTTTCTTCACCTCAGTCGCACTAGTTTCGATCTTGTCTTTCGTTTTTCATTATAATCTGGATTACTCAAAATCATGTTAACGGTGCCTTTAACTCCGTCAATTGAAGGAAGCAACGAGTTAAAGGGTTTTGCCACTCGCGCTCTAATGCGAACAGCGCGCCCGACTGATAGCCCGGGCTACGTTGTCACACATTCGTCGAACGTTTAAATCTGTCGTGCGACAAGTGATACAGAATACCCGAATGTATTACTCACGTGCTGTTGCTTCAGCCAGTCAGTGCTGTAGAAGCACTGCAGTCGAATAGATTCCCGCAATGAAGTACCTAAAAGGCTCACTCTTTCCGTAAAATTATGGGTGCATTGTTATAGCGTAAGCTGCGCACTGTCTTTCCTCGAGATGAACGAGATGAAAATGCAGGGGGGGGGGGGGGGGGG